GTTGTGTGTTGTATACAAGCAAGGTCATACTCCTAGTTCTGCCCCGTCATTAAGTATCAGTGAAGCTGTCAGAAATGTCCTGTTTTGCACATTTGTTTAACGGCATGTATTAAATCTATTATTACTAAGCACCATGAATTTAAAAAATGATTAAGACAAAATATGTATATTTTGAGAGCACACAACGAGAGAGAGGGATAGACATGTAAAGAGAAAGATACACAGTGCCTGATAGGTGCAGTACTGGGTGGGATTTGAGCGTCATGGCAGTAGCAAGGAAGGTGTGCCGCATATCTGTGGATGTGGAAGTCAGAGAAAGCTAGCCAGAAGAGGTAGCATGTGAATAAGGATGCACTAGGGCTTTAATTTGCTTGAACCTGACTCACACCTTCTCTTTGAAGTCTCCTTTTTATTTCCTCCCTCTTCCCTCAGTATGCTTTCTGCTCAGTGATGGACTAAGAAGTGGTGGGAATAGATGTTAGCAGCCTTCTTTTTTCTTTTTCCCCACTGCTATGAAGATCTCTCACTACCTTTTGCTATACAAAGATGACACCACCTGAAGTATCCAGTCTGGATATTGCCTGTAAGGTTTCTTATTGGAATTTATATTAAATCTGTTATAGAATTTTTCGTTGTAAGGTCTTGATTCAAATTTTACTGTCACTTGTTCTTGAATCAAAAACCAATTTTTAAGTCTATCCTAAACAGAGTCTATACTCTCAATTGTTAGAATAGACTAACAATTTGAGCGTCAAAAAGCAAAAACCATTGTTTTTTTTTAAGTCTATCCTAAACAGAGTCTATCCTAACAATTGAGAGGATAGACTCTGTTTAGTATAGACTTAAAAATGTTTCAACAGACTTGTCCATATCATATAGTAATATACAGAGACATGCCATACTTTAAGATAGGTGGAAGAAGGTCAAGACTATCTTATGATATCTACAAAGCTACATCTCCTCCAAAAAGACGAATCTGTAAATATTAACAAACATTTTGCAATTTTAAGTGTGCCCCAAACTTCCTGATGCTTGCTATTAATCTTAGTTTACCTAATACAATCCTTTAAGAAAAGGAGAGACAGACTTCATGGAAGTCAACTTTCCCAGGCTTACTAGAGAATGAAGAATGTCCCTGTGGCTACCACATTCTCTCCTCCCCACACCCTTGTCTCTGCCCTTAGGCAGTCTGCTGTCCCTCAGCCTAGCCATCTGCTCTTAGCAGTGAGGGAGCAGCGTGGTAGCCATAAATCCTGGCAGAGGTTGCAGTCTGGCAGTGTGAATGACAGCGTGCAGCATGGAGTCTTTGGCAAAGGATAAAGCTGTGGCTACAAATCCAAACGCTGTAAACCAAATGATGGAGTAGAATGAAGTGCCTGGCTTTTTCCTTAACCGCCAGGTGATATTTCCAGAAGCAGCAATGCATCTTTGTCAATGACTGTTGGTTGTGATTATCTTGGAAAAGTAAGTGTAGTAGATCTCACTTCTTTTAGCCCTTTTCAGCATTTCTCAGGCCTCCTCCAAGAGAGCTTGAGGCTTAACTTAAAGATGTGTTTATACAGGTTGCAAATATATCTGGGATCTTCTGGTGTAAGTGTAAGGGGCTTATAATTGATCATCCCCAAAATCATTTTAATCAATACATTCAATTCCATTTTTTTGAGTCCCAACTATATGTACTCAAAAACAGAAGAAAAAGGTAATTATTTTTAGATCATTCTTTCTTTTGGTTAACTTAGTAACTAGATAAAAGTGAACAGCCTGAAAACATACCAAGCTTTTTCTGTTTAGAGTTTTTCTACCATGTAAGGCTTTATTTAGTGCCATGAGTGGTCAGGCAATGCAGGTGTGAGTATATGCTCCAGGAATCATCAAGTTTATTGGTGAGTGGCAGGGCTTGAGCTGAAGAGGAAGGATGGGACCAGACCTTAAGTCATGTAAATGCTGTATATTTAAAATATATTTAAAATGTATTTGAAGACTACTAAGAGTCAACCATGGTATAGAAAGTCACATTTGTTCTTGGTGTGAAATTGTAAGAAGTTCAAGTTTCAATCAATACTTTAAAAGTCCTTTGTTGTTCTGTAAAGGCATATCCCATGTAAGTGGCTAATAATAACCAAAATTAGATACTTACAGGCAAGCCTCCTGACTGCTTAAGGTATAGAATAAGCAGATGACACAGGGGCTATGGATATGCAGCATGTGTTGTGCTCTTTAGTCTGCCAGAGAACGTTCCCCCTCTTAACTTTTCACCAAGCACTCTTTTTATCCCGCTTGCCCCACTATAAGCGTAGTTTTTGTCTGATTATGTGTAGAATAGTAAAGCATATGGATGAGAGTTGTTTCCTGTGTATGTAGGTACTAAAGGCAGTATGTGCTAGACATTGGAGATATATATATATATATATATATATATATATATATATATACACACACACACACACACACACACACACATACATATACACAAAATTCAAAATATCCAGAGGAAAATTCTAATGTATTTTGAATCAACTATGGTTGCAAATATCACCATAGTTTGGCACTTTGTAAGTAACTTTTTTATAATATTTTCTGAATTTTAGTTTTATAATGGAAACACTAATTATTTGATATGATAAAGATAACTTCTTGTGCCACCCCCAACAAAATAATACATATATATTCTAAATCTAGGTTATTTTATGCTTGTGTTTAAAATTTAATTGTGTTTTAGATATGATTAATTTTATTAATTTATAGACAATTAAATTTTAATTGTATATTAATTTGGTATTCTTTAGATTTTGTTCCCAGTCTATTGAAAAATTTTCAGACTTTTTCTAATGACAACAATTGTATAAAGTAGTAGTGCCTTCACTAAAAAAAGTCACTGCAAGAACCAAATCTTTTGACTTCAGTCACTCATAGTAACTATCAAAGACATTTTAAATACTGTTCTAGGAGCTTTAAAATTATAGCTTTACTTCAGCCATGGCACTCAGGGCAAATACCAGCCAGATGAGTCCTAGGCGTTGGATTCTGGAACTGTTTCCAAATTGATTACTCCCAAACTTCAGTTTCCTGGTCTTGAAACATGGAAATAATAATGTGTTGCTTCTTCAGGAATCAAATCAATAAGGTCATGCCATCAACGAATAATGAAAAATATTAAGGTATTTTCAAACTTAAGCAAATTTACTAATAAAGAATAATAATATTAACATATTATGTACAGTATGATAATATGGAGATTCATCGTATTTATATTTAAATCAAGTGAGTGAGTTAATGCTTTTCCATCTCTCTTTGATCTACCTAACCAATGAACAATATTAGTCTACATTTTAAAAGCAGTTCCCTAAAGGAGAGTTCATGTAAGTGCCAAATAATAATTATAATTACATGCTTACACCAAGTTCTTAGAGTAATAACATGTTGAAATATGTCATAGCCCCAGATATTAAAATTACTGTAGTGTTTATTTTTATTATTAATTGCAGGTGCTGCATTATTTTCATTAAGGAAGCCAAGAGGCAAACAAGTTTTCAGTGTTGAGGTGAAAGTGGTTTCACAAATTTCTGAAGGAGATTCACGTGTTGATGATGTGTCAGTGAGCCACAGTAATAATACTGCCTTGCATCAAAAACTATATTCTTCTCTGCGTTTCTAAAGCACTTTGCACTTGCTTTGAGTCTAGCAGTGACCAAAATGTTTCCTGAAAGAATGTAGTTCTCTCACATGCCCATTATATCTTAAGCACTTTGAGAGCCGCTGCATTTGTAGAGCCACTGGCACATGATAGGCAAGTTATTGACTTGCAGATTTGTATTTATGTAACATTCTTTACTTTTTGCAGTGTGCATTCATACATAAAATTTCATTTTGTCGTTTTCAACGACTTTCTAGGTAACTATTTCCTCAGTTATGCGACTTGCCCAAAAGATCTCTTCCAGTGACCGGTAAAACCATAACTTCTGATTCCCAGTCTAGTGTAGTCATCACTGATGAATTTTGCCCCTATGAATCTTCGTTGTCTGAATTTTTGAATTTTAGGTCACTGGGATTTTTAAAACTCAGCCCAAGACTTTATAAGCCCTCTCCAAGAATCTGAACCATTGTTTCTTAATGAAAGTGTGAATTTTTTGAGGACAGGTCACTTCCTAGTTATACTCATTTTTTATATTGCCTACTGACTATTGTATAGGACCTAACAAGGGACAGACATTCAATAAATACTTCATGGATGAATGATATGTTATTGTGTATCCCACAAAACAATCCAAGAAAGAGTGGTTTAGCTATGCAGACAGTGACTGAAAGGCATCCCTGCAGAGTGAGGGCAGGTACTTTTCTATCTCAATGTTCGTTTTCAATGTTAGTACTCAACTGCCACCCTTTTCTGCTCATCACATTAGGGCCAGAATTGCTGAAATGTGAAATGAAATCTATGGCAATTTATTACTGTTTATGAGAGACTCTGTGACATGCCTGGGCCGACTTGCCTTCTACTATCGTGTGTAAGAGATCTGAAAGGATCGGCAGATAGATTAATTTAAGGCTGCTTTTGCTGACACTGGTTACCTCTAAATGGATAATCATTTATCAGTAAATTACTTTTTCTGAGCCGGGTAATTTCTGATCAACATGTTCATTCTCCTTCTCTCTCTCCATTCCCCTTTTTTCTCTTCCCTCACCTGCTTTTCTTTTGTTTGTTCTTTCTTTTTTCTCTTTTTCTCTCTCACAAACTCACAGGCATACATGCTCACTTGCTGCCTTTTGTTCTCTTTCTCTCATTCTTACCAACACACATATACACACACACATGCACACACACCTCAATATACATGCCTTCCAAAGTAAGCATTAGTTGTGACTATCTATATATTAATAAAAAGTTATTTTTATTTTCTGAGCCACAGTCAAAACGTAAATGGCTGCAAGATAGAAGTTATAATGTCCATTATAAGGAGGGGATGGGTACTAAGTAAAGAGAAAGAAGACATCGTGCTCTTGCAGTAATCTAAACTAGGTTAGAATTTTATTAGCACTGCAGCATTTTACAGACCATGAAAAATTGTTGAAACTCGATCTTGGATGTCATCATCAAACAGTATGCTTTATAAGTGCCTTTCTGCCCACATAAGGATAAACCAGTCTGTTAAGCCTATACGCCTTGTACACTCTGAGAGAGAGTTTGCCTGCTAAATGCAGGTATGGTATAGGGAAGGCAGGTTTGATTTACTTACAAAGAGCTCTGGGAAGGAAAAGATAGGAAAGAATCTCAGGGCTTTTGCAAGTCTGAAATGAAATGCTAAGCTACTCTTTTAGAAAGGCAGGAGAAAGAGAAGAGATGAAAATTTAGCTGGAATGGTATATTATAGAATGTAAGTGAAATTATAACTTTGGAATTTTGTTAACCCATGGATAGCAGAAACGAATGCCAACTTGTAGCTGAGTTTCCTCCCAACGTCAATTTGTTGTGAAACAACTCATCTCTCTGACTTTTTTGATAGATAGGAATGACACCTCCAGGACAAAACGATCTTATCCCTGTACTAAGCCATCATAGGCATCATGTCTTCCATTGTCAATGACTAATTGCCATTTGTCTTGTTCTCTCCTTTCTTTTTTATATTGTATATTGAGAAAGTAAAACTCTCCCCTGAACTAAACTTGTTGGTTAAAACAGTCTTACCTGTTTCCGAGCTTTAGGAGAAACGGGTGCTGATTTGGTTCTCCAGGCTCAGGCTCTATAGGCTTAGAAAACTGTGTTGGAAATGTAGCAGTTTTGCTGCAGAGACGGCCCTGATGCAACTGCTTGAATGGCTGAGATTTGGAAGTGCCGATCTGAACAAGCAGCAGAGAAGAGCTGTTAGTAGCTTTCGTTTTATCACCTTGAACACTTGAAATACATTTGCATGTGGGATATGAGTATGTATCTGTTAAAGGCCTGCTTAGGCCCCAACATTTTACTGGTCATTTAGGTTACCAGTGAGAGGGAAAAAAAAAAAAAAAACTCCAACACTGTGGAAGATTCTTGTTCCTCAGCATGTGTGTGCTGCTCTGTTTTATTAATGAATGCAGCATACGCTGCTACTAAACTGCAGATTCCTTGTAGGAATGGTCTATGTGCAACCCTTGCATCTAATACAATACCTTACACCCCCAATAAGTGTGTTCCCTAGGAAAGACTATGTGATTTAATAACTAAAAGCAGGTTATACACTAAGTAGATGTTGTCTTCACTTTTTAGTTTGTGAGAACCGTAAAGAACAGAGTGATACACACACTCTATGAACTGGGTTATCATTGCAGATAGACTGTCGCAGTGGAAAGAAGCAAAGTGGGAATCAAATCCCAAGTGAAAGCATCACTGTAGAGGCCTTCTTTGGGAGACAAATGGAGCTTTTGTTGATGTTCCCTACATAAGCACACATGCTTCAAGGCAACTGGCAATCACTCAATGTGGTCAGTGTTCACTTTTACATCCTCAGCTACCCCCTTTTCCTCCACCGTAGACATCTGTGCTGAGTATATTCCTTAACACTCTCTCCATAGGCCTGCCTATTCTCTCTTTTTTCACCATCAATATCCTTTCTAATACCCACTGTCAGAGCCACTAAAAACTGCGAGGTTTGTTTCTTGACAAATGTCCCATTTTCACAGGCAGTTGAACCGAACTGCAGCTTGTGCTCCGTTCAAACATGTCAATAAACATTATTGCAAAGACGTAGAAGCAGTAATGGGAATGTATAAAACTCACCTTTATTGCTTCTTGCCATGAATTTACACGCTGCTCTAAGCAGCTTTCACTCCCTCAAGAAGAAGCTGCAGGAAAGCTGTTTTGGGTTGTGGGGGCAAAGATACTGATTTGATTGCAATCTTCTCTGGATCGTAGAAGCAGAAGATGGCAATGCCTGTCAACTTCTTGAATATATGCCCATTCTTTCATGCCATAATTGTCTTTTATAAATAATGCTAGTTGTCACAGATAAGAAGAGGGTGTTGTAGAATGGAACATCTAATGTCATAGAGCAGCAACACTCACCACAAAAGATCCCAAGCATGGTGATATTCTAAACCTAGGTTTCCATGTCTGTGAATCTGCTGTACTGAAGGTAACGTTGTATGGACTGAATGTAAAACAAATAGATTGTTCGTGGCGGTGAGAGAGAGACTGTACTGTAATGTATTCCAGTCTCAAAATGAAGGCCTGTAGCTCTTTGGGGACTTCAGATGATACATGTCTAAGATAGATATTAGAATGCAAAGCGATTCTTCGTGGATAGTGTCAAGATGAGGACTGCTATATCCCTGAGGGTGGGACATGTCAGGGATTCGTGTGTCCTGAGGTGAAAGGCTCCAGAAGCATTCATGAGTAGGTTTATGACCCTATAGCAATAGGTTCTACAGACAAGAAACATTCCCTGCAAATAGACCAACCTGCATTTGTATAGATTTAATTCTGCAGGAGATTAAGTTGAGCCAAAGAAGCATTCTGGGAAGTAGTGTCAGAGTCTCCCCTAATCCTTCCTAATTCTCTGTGTGTGTGTGTGTTTCATTGTATTATGCTGTATTGTTTAGACGTCCTTCACTGCAGGGACTTTCAGATATTTTAGGGCTAAGACCTAGGCTATGATTGCTACTTCTGTTTCAGTTTCTTTTTTCTACTTTTCCAGAGCATTTTGAATCATATCAATTTCACATATCAGCTCCAATTATATCAAATAATTTTTGGAACATTGCAATGAAAATGAATCAATAGACATGTGATTTGTATACCATGAATGGCCACAGTTGAGACAATTACTTTGAGGCGGAAAGTAGTACAGATGTTAAAAACATTTAAAGAAGAAAAGCATTATCAGAATAATCTGTGTATCCTTTCTGATAATGTGACAGTAGCAATCAGGTAAAAAGAAGAATAGAAGAAAAAATGTATATTAACTTTTTCGATAATTTTGATTCTGAATGACACACTTTCCAATGACATTTCAACATTCATTCAATCAGCCAATATTTATTGAGCCTATTATGTGCCAAACACTACATTAGATACTAGGCTGTTTTAGGAAATTAGTTAGAATGGGGAATACCCTTTTCTCTCCCTCACTCTAAGTCATTAATTAGTTATTTTTAATCACAGTGAACAAACATTCAGAAATGAGAAGCAGAATTCAATCACAAGGGTATTTTTAACAAAGTGCCTCTTATTCTGTATTCAAGATAAGATTAAATAATAATCTGATTATTCGTGCACCAGTTTCTCAACTTTCTGAGTATAGAGTTTCTTTAGTTTCAAAAGTTCAAGCAATATAGAACCTTTACCCAAATCCCAAGAAAAATGGACAAAAACAGGTCTGTCTGTATCAAGTTCTATAAACACAAACTTGCTAGCTGCTCCAATAGGCATGGTGGCTCAAACCCTACTTTTCCAAACTAGATTATTTTTAATGATCACAAGCAATGGGTATTTTCTTTGAGTCATTTGAAGCATGAAGGGAGGACTTCCTCTATTCTCTAATAAGAATATTGCAAAATAACAGGCTGACACAGAGGTCCATAAGACAGACATCATCTTTTCTTTATCCCCCAGAAGAGGACAGGCATTGACCTAACAACAGCTATTAGTGCTATGCTATGATGGAGAACTGCTAAGGGAGTACTGAGCAGATAGAAAATATTGCAGTATACAGGGAGATCAGGTAAATGGCCTTTAAGTAGAACTAAAAAGCATGAATAGGAGGCAGTCAATAGAAGGAGAAGCTTTGCGCAGATATTCCAGAGAGAAATGCCCAGAGAAAATAAAGCATAGTATATTTGAGAAACTATACGAAAATGAGCATGGCCAGAGCAGACAGGTGTAGGGCTCAAGTATGAGGGAGGTGTGAGAAAACTGTTAACTCTGAGAAGATAGCTGGGTCCAGATCATGAGAAGTCTAATCAGAAAACCATTTTAAAGAATATTGACTTCATGTTTTAGAAGTGGAAGTCATGAAAGAATTTAAGCAGAATACTGTCTTAAAATGCATGTATGTAAATACATCATATACATTTCAGTTTTTCATAGCAGGTGCTCATATTGTTTCCTTCAATTAATTACATTCAGTATACTTTTACTTCTTCGCTCGTTTTCTTTCAACCACATCAACATCTGTCCCTTCCCAAATATTCTCAACAGCCAGAGTTACACTATGCAATTTTGACTCTTGCAAGTCAGTACAGAAGAGAAGACAAGTCCTGGGGTTTCCTGATACTCTGACCTCAAATTTTGTGCTGGACAGCCCAATAGTCAAGCAATTATTGTCATTATTATTTGTCTGATGCTGGCTAGACAGATACTTGCTAAGATAGAGCTGGGATGAGTTGGTATTAGAAATAAAGTCAGAGCAGGAGCAGAACTCTGCCTGGTCTTAGAATAAGGGGTTAGTTATGACATGGTTTTGGGAAATCACAAGGATGGGTTAGAGAATAATGGCATTTTAGTATGCATGCTTGTTATGTTTGGCGGTGTCCCCACCAAAATATCACCTTGAATTGTAATAATCCCCACATGCCAAGGGCAGGACCAGATGGAGACAACCGAATCATGGGAGAAGTTCCCCCAAATTGTTCTCATCGTAGTGAATAAGTCTCATAAGATCTGATGGTTTTATAAGTGGGAGTTCCCCTGCACAAGCTCTCTTGCCTGCTGCCATGTAAAACATGCCTTTGCTTCCTCTTTGCTTTCTTCCATGATTTTGAAGCTTCCCCAGCCAGGTAGAACTGTGAGTCCATTAAACCTCTTTCCTTTATAAGTTACCCAGTCTCAGATGTGTCCTTGTTAACAGCATGAGAACAGACTAATACAGTAATATTAGTAATGGAAAGTATTCATATGAATCTTAAAATAAATATTTTAGAAACTCAGTATCCTGCCTCATGGTTTGTAGCTTGCTATTAGTACTATCGTGAAGCAAGCTCAATAGTAATTCATGTTATATAAGTTCTTAGAGATGTCAGGGCAGAACTTAAGAATACTAACCTGAAGCTCTGTCTCATAAATAATTGTTTTGTCAGCTTGTAGGAGCTAACCAGTGTGGAGGATGAAAGACGAAAAGTGTCATCAGGTGTCTTTGGTGTTCTAGGTTGCAGTCTTCTGATCTCCTCGCGATCAATTTCTGTAGTCACTGTGGCACTTCTCTCTTTCGTTCTTGACATCTGAAATTTGTACATGTGACTGTTGCCCTGCCAGATAATGTTTAAATTGTGGTTGTTCTGATTCAGAGTAGCTTATCTATCTAATCATGGCACATAAAAGAAATTGTAATACACTGATCCAATAATTTTGCATGACATTAGGACAGCCTTCACTAGTTTGGATTAATTGAATGTTAAGATTTCACAAACAATGTTCCCACCTGGGTATCTGTTTGTAAATTTGGCCACTTTGTATTTCATTTTTATTCTAGAATTTCCCTAAGTTCTTCAGAGAATTACTCTGCCAAAGACCTATACAGCCTCTAGCTCTAATGTTCTGTCAATATTGACAGATGAAGCAGAGGGGACATACACAGTCACTGAATAAAAAAGTAATTCCTTCTCCAGCTACAATCTTGAATGAAACACAGTTTATGAGGTATATGAACAGAGTACTTTGTATATGGAAAGAGAGAAAAAGAGAATGAGAAAAAAAGAGGGAAGAGGAAAGAAAGGGAGAGGAGAGACGAGAAGAGGTTGCCTTGGGAGAATTATAGGAGATGTTTCCTGTAGTGGCTGTAGGAGTGAGCTTGTGGTTATTCTAGAAAGTTCTTCCTTAGGTTTTCACATATAACTTTATTCATCGAGAGTAGTTTCGCCTTTTCTGTGAGTATACTAAGGATAATCATTTTATTATGAGCATTTCTTATGTTATGACGAATTTAAAAGAAAAGGTGACCTCTGTCCTGATAGCATTTGGCCTCAAAAGGGCAAATGGACATTTGAAACTATAATGTGCCCAGATAATGGTAAACAATTTTACTTTTCCGACTAGTAGTTTGCTTATGCTCAGTTTTAGTCTTAGGCTTCCTGGTAGGAAGTTTGAGTGGAGAATTTGAAAGCAGCTGTATCTTTGCCTATGGCACAAATAGCTTTCATTCAATAAATGGACCAAATTGGAATAACCACAACCAAGAGCTTCTTGTGCTCACAAAAGTGATATAAGTTCTGGGAAAGGATGTTCTGGCTGCAGGTGATGAAAAGTAGTCCAGGCTTTCATTTTATATATTATATTATATTATTTCTTTGATATGGAGTCTTGCTCTGTCACCCACGCTGGAGTGCAGTGGTGCAATCTTGGCTCACTGCCACCTCCACCCCCTGGGTTCAAGCAATTCTCCTGCCTCAGCCTCCTGAGTATCTGGGATTACAAGCACATGCCACCATGCCCGGCTAATTTTTTGTATTTTTAGTAGAGACGAGGTTTCACCATGTTGGCCAGGCTGGTCTCGAACTCCTGACTTCAGGTGATCCACCTGCCTTGGCCTCCCAAAGTGCTAAAACTACAGGTGTGAGCCACTGCACCTGGCCTAGTCCAGGTTTTCAGACACAGTATGTGAGAACATAGACTGAAAAGTAGATGGGTAAGCATGCCTGGATGAAGTCAAAACCAGCATTTACTTAGACGCTTATCCAACTAGGAAATACGGAGTGTGATACTGGCAATGAGGATGACTGTCAGCATTTAGATCACCTCCAGTCTCAGGTCAGGGCTGGAATTTGGTTTAAAGAGGGAGACCTGCAGTTTCTGGGTGATGAGAAGGAAGGTACTATCAAAACCAAGGCAGACTTTTAATAAAAGGAGGTATGGTTAGTGCAGAACTAGAGTTTAAACTTCAACTTCTGCCTCCTCATTCAGTGCACTTCCA